TTTTTTTTTTTGGCGGCTTTGGCGACATTTTTCTGCTCTGGTTTAATTATTTTGTTGTTTTGTTTTGTTTTTTTAATTATTTTTGTTTTGGTTTTCCGCTAGGCGAGCAACAACTCACCACGGTGATGTCGTTGTTGCTGTTGTTGTTGGTGCTGATGTTGTTGCCGTTGTTGATATATCTGAGGATGATTATAATTGGCGGATGAGGACGAAGGTGACGGACAGAGACTGCCGCGGATACTTCCGTGCATTAGTGGTGGTTGTGCATCATCGAGTGGTGGTGTCACGTCTAGATAAAGACCAGAAGTCGCGGAGTCCATGCAACTGCACGATTCTGTACCGGTAGCATTGCACCCGACGCAACATTCGGTATCCGTAGCCAGGCTCATCGGAGTTTCCGGCGAATCCACAGGTCTCGTACCAACGAACGAACTTTCCATCCAGCAGAGCCTCGCGCTTCCTTCGATGAAATAGATCACGCTCTTTTAGGATTATACGTAAACACAATTTGGCAACTTTTTATACGCGACATATTTATTTGTCTCGCTCGCGCTAAACGTATTTTCTCTCCATTGTAATGGTTCTCACGTGTATTATATATATATATGCATATATATATATAGATAAGTAAAAGAGAACCCCACGTGTGACCTTTGACATGTATTAATTAGGTGAATGTCGACGTTCGTTAGTAATAATACGTTTTTAGAAATAAAGATAGAAAGGAGAGAATGTAATGTAGAAAAAAGATCGATGAAAGATCGCGTCCATTATTATCGCATTTCGCAAATGAATTTGCACAATATTGATTTAGTCCTTTTAATGAAATTAAAAGGACTAAATCGTGATAGTAAAACGAACGAACATAAACGTATATATATCTATATCTATATATATATGTATATATAGGTATATATAAGTTAAGATCATTTTGCGAAGTACGTAATGAAATTAATCATTGGAGTTAATACGTTCGACGTTTTCCTTGGAACAAATATTAGTATTTGGAAATGGTATATTACAGTAAGAAATTGTTCCATCAATTCTTCGTCATTTTTGCCATGAATTTATAAGCTTTGTTCGCCTATGAATTTATCATTCTTTCGAAATTCATTTCACTGCGAACGTAAGTATATGATTCTTTCGTCAGGAAATTATGTAATATGTATTCTGGCATCATTCTATTTTAATTACATGAGGAAGTAGTGTTTCTTCGCGGTCGTATCGATGTATATATATATATATGATAGGGCTTTTAAAACACTGACCCACATTGTTTTCTCTTCGATAAAAGATCAAGGTGACGAATATCCGCGTAGCTTTGTTCCGTTTTTGAAGTGGCGTTTTCTCACACAGGGGACATGTAAGAAGTTTTGAGGCATATATAAATTCTCGCTCACCTATTTTGAATTTTGCGTAAATGTCTTCGGTGACGTCGTTAAAAATAAACGATGCTCGACAAAACGCTCGTAAAACCACGTCGAGCGTGACGATAATAGATCAGTTTCTTTTTTTTTCTCTTTTCCTTGGTAAATAATAATTAAAAAAAAAAAAAAAGAAGGAAAAAAAAATCGAAAGAAAATTTACAGTATTGCTGGGGAAATATAATTTTGAATCGACAAATAACAAATGTGAAGAACGATGCCTGAGATTTATAGAGTACGTATGCGTACTCTACAAACAAGTATTCTTATGAAATAGCTATACGGAGAGACAAAGTAAAATGATCATCGTTAAATGATAAAACCGAACGACAAAAGATAAAAAGCTTTCGTTTGATAGTAAATTAAATAATCAAGTTATTATTTAGCTATTGTAATCAAAAAAACGTAGACGACAAAGTGTGTGTATGGTGTGTGTGTGTGTGTGCGCGCGCAAATGTAAAGATGCATGGACATGTGAGAGATAAAAGATAAAGGACGACAGTGATAAGAAAAAGAAATAAATTAGAGACGACGTACTCCTTAGAGAGACAGTGAGAAAGATAAAAAGAGAGAGAGAAAGAGAGAGTGAGAAAGAAAGAAAGAAAGAGAAAAATAGAATAAACAATATGTATAATATATTATATTCAATGCAAAAAAGACGAAAGAATAAAAATTTACCTGTGTTTTGCAGAACAAAAATGGTGATAGTGCGTTCTTGGTAACGAGGTGTTTTTGGCGGGGTTTAGTGCTCACCTCTGGGACTGGTAGATCTTACTTCACCCCTATCTTCCCAGTCTTCTGGTCGAGGCAAGGGAGAGAGTCTTTCGTTTCCGTCAACTTCCTGGCCGCTTTGTACATAATGCACAATGGCTGAAGTCACCTCCTTTATAGAGTTTCTCACTGCCAATTGCTGATTCGTCGTCTGTTGGTGATGTTGTTGCGGTTGTTGCAATTGCTGCTCCTGATGTTGATGCTGCTGCTGTTGTTGGTGGTGATGCTGATGTTGTTGGTGCTGATGTTGATGGTGCTGTTGCTGTTGTTGTTGCTGCAAGGTGAATGTAAATCCTTCATTCTTAGACAAATCGGTCGTTCGTTCGTTAGCTTTACGAATGAATTATAGACTAACCTTATTTGGTGATTGCAGCTGAGAAAGTATACCCTGAGCGAGACGTTCCGCCGGTGTACGTGGGTTGCTTAGCCGTTCTTGCGAACGCCAACCCAAATAAGGTTGCCGATGATAGAACGATAATTTTGCTGAACTCGCCGGTGAACTTCCAGCACTGTTTAGCAAACTGGTACTCCATCTTGAGAATACGGGAGGTGTAGGACTAGGGCTTAATAGAGCGCCTGAAAACAACAATAAATACCTTAACTAGTCTCGCTCAACTTTTTTAAACTTTTTACTTAGAAAGTAAAAAGAAAAAAAAACAAAAAGGTCTAAAAAACATATTGTGAATTTACCTGTAGTTGGTTGCCTATTCGAGGAGGATGAAAGAGATGACAACGAGGTGGTTTTCGAGCCGAGCGCACGCCAACCTCCATGCTGAGATGCATCGGAGTGCCTTTTTAATCGGAAACCATCACGAGCCGTGGGAGAATTTTTGTACCAGTCCGGAACGTTCAGTCGTTGTAGAGACCTTTGTACCCTTAATTCGTGCTCACTTGGCACACGTTCACCGACCTTCTGCAGTTCGTTCTCTGGTGGCTGCAATACAGATATATGTAAATATATATATATATATACACATCATATATGCATAAAAAGAAAGAAAAAAATAACCTTCCAAAATAATTACAATTGATATCATTTCTATATATGATTCTATCTGTATAAATTTTGTTTATAACTTCAAAAGAATTCTCTTCATAAAAAGCTTACAACATCGATGATATCGATCCTTTTAGCCATGTTTATAAAATATTCATCTAATCTTATCGTCATTATATTATATATCTTCTATGCATATTATAATTACTTTCTTTTTATTTTTACAGTAATTTAGCATTGACACTTATTTCAGTCGTGATCGTTAAATATTAAAAACAATCGAAGATACATATCCCTGAAGTCTTTCGAGTAAATCTCAACGAAAAGCTAATGGTCGATGTTTGTAATTATAATCTCAGAAAATTTATACGTGTGTGCAGATAAGAGATAATATATAACAATAGATTCTCGGTGAATACACAATAGCGCTTCCTAAGGAGGATGGAATTCGGTCGGTGAGTGGCACAGAAAGTATACATACATATATACATATATACATAATATATATATATGGTCTGTATACTTATATTACATATATAATATATATTGTATATAAATATATATATGCATTATGTTAAAACCGTGACATAAATTCCTGTACGAATGAAGCCTAACGTCAATGTACGGATAGGAAGAATGTTACGCAATGAGGTCCCTTCAACGCAATGTGTGTTTATGATTGTAAAAGCGTGGCACGCGGTTAAGTATTTCACGTGTAGCAGCAGCTCTCTTTCTACGCCTCGGCATATGTTTGCCATTTGCATAGACGCGTGGTATGTAAGTACTTAGATGCAGGTGTGGGTCTTCGAATCGATTTGCCAGAGATACGAAGAATCTAAACGCGACACAATTTTGTTGGGTAAGAAGAGGGAGAAGAGACAAACGGGCGCTGGCGCAGATCGACGTCGTCATCGTCGACTATTCCGTTGCTTTCAAATATAAATCGGAAGAAGTTTTCTTGTTCCTCTTTTATTATACGATAGAAACCACTATTATTTCCAAAAATAATCATAAATATTCGTTTAAACGTAGATTATTACGAAAGTTATAACAATCACATATTTGTGATGATTTTACATTTACGTATATGCTCGAGAATTTGTATAATAATAAATTCGTTTAATTTTTAACAAGCAATTTATCTGACAATGAATCAATTTAAATGAGTACTCATTTTTAAATAAATATATATTATAAAAATAAAATAATATATAATTAAGAAAATGTTTAATAATACATCTAAAGAATTATTTTGTACATTTTAACAGAGAGACGTAGTATCTATATTAAAAATATATTATATATATATATTTTTGTCGATAAAAATTCACTGAAATATGTAAGACGAAATAATTTGAGATCTCGATGTTTTAAAATAAAAGATTAAATAAAAACAATATAAAAAAAGTAAAAAGAAAGAAAGGAGTAAAAGAAAAGGATATAAAAAATGAAAAAGAATTATGTAAAAGTTATAATACAATTGATCAGATTCAAGAATAAATGTTTCAGTTACGCTATTCAAAAAGGACGATATATAAAATAGTAACGTTGAGAAAAAAAAAGAAAAAAAGGGTAGAAACTGGAAGCGATGAGTGGAAACTTTCCAAAGCGGAAAGCTGATTCTGCTTTGGAAGGTGTTATGCGCACTTCGTAAAAGAACGCTATTGATCTCATCATGATATCCGATGACGGTACCGTAGACGAACAACCACTGCTTAGTATCTATGGATATTGAGTTATACAATATTGTTCCTACGTTTAGTTTGTAGATTCTTATGTAGTAGCAAAGAGAAGACGACGACGACACAACACAACGACGATATCGATAATCGGTAACTTCGAACGATTTTCTAGACAACGTTCTAGATTTTCCAGATAGTTGCAGATAAGATTTCTAAAAATATACCTGCACAATAGTGGGAGACCTATTTTTGTCAAAAGCAACGAGCATTGTCTGATCGTTGGAAGGGGATTTGGAACAATTCCTTTCCACATGGAGAAATTTATGAATCGTCTGGAGTGACACGTAACAATGGAATTAAAGAGGACTTGTTGAACATGACGTGTGGTTGATTCCTTTATGGGGGGGAGAGGGCAGTAGGGGGCAGAGGGAAGAGCGTATCAAAGTAATTAAGAGGGTATGAACATTTTTCATTACGCCAGATGTCGACCATTATCATGATAATGGGGGAAAGTAGAACAAAAATAGTTTCTATAAAGTATGAACGGTGCGCGTACACGTCATCTTAGACTCAAAGGGAAATGATAAGGGAAAATCGTAATACGGCTGAAAATGGTTTGGAATGCGTAATGAGAGCAGGTAAATGGAGGGTTCGGAGAGAGAGAGAGGTACCATTATCAATTCAAAGGATATTGTACCAGGACTATCTTCTATCCTTGATTAACCTAATTTAATATTCTACAAGGAACAATCGAGATTCAATATTGGGAGACATTCCTATCGGGATTCTTAGAAATTGAATGAGTTTCATCAGAGAATAATGGAAAATTTATTGGACATGCTAGACACGTAAAAGATAGAAATAGAAAAGGAAGATTCTCTAATGTGACCTTGAAAATTCATTAATACGTTAAGAGATACATTATCACGAATATAAATTGTATCGGGATATATCATAGTGTTAACGATCGATGGAAACAGTGTTAATTAAAGGGATGCTAATTTACCATTTGATGTTGTGTAACGGCGAGAACACGAAGTCGTGTAAAATACTGCATTGAGAACGAAATAGCACCCTCATGGAAGTACATGATATATATACACCACGGAGATCTTCATGCGAATTCCACTTTTGCCGTACTTCTCACAAAGAGCACGCGTTATAAAGGGAGTACCGAGTAACGCGAGGATACTCACGATAAAAAGGGACCAGAGAGAAAATAATAATCTCAAAATATTTAACAAAAGCGTTCGCGAGGAATGACTGTCGCAATAAAACGCGATAAAACGAGTAACTTAACTTACCTATGACTAGTTGTGTAACATCGACACTTTATTATATTGAGATAATTAATCGCAAAAATAATTCGTGACGAGTAAAAGATTAATGTCAAAAGAAAAGAGAAGAAAAGAAAAGAAAGGAAAACAAAATAAAAAACCGATAAGTTATTTTCTAATGGTCGTCCTGATCATTATCTATTTTATATCTTAAAGCTGACATCTGTCTAGACTTTACGAGCGGAACGGTAATCGTTAAGAGTAGAAGACTGACGATTAACAAACAACGCGAACAACACGGTGCAAAATTGAAAAGAAAAAAATGAAGAAAAGATCGCGGAAAAAGAAATGATCTATAAGAATGGAGGAAGAAATTGTTGAGAAACGGTCATGAAACTAGTAGAAATTTTATAGGTCTCTCCTTTTTTTCTTCTTCTTCTTCTTCTCTCTTTCCATTAATAAAGTAAAGAAAGAACGTTGAAGAGTAACAGTATAAGTAACAAAATGAAAATGAAAAAAGAAATAAATAAAAAGAAAAAGCAGCAAAGATAGATAAAATATTAAGGGGGAGGAAGTAAAAAGAAAAGAAAAGAAATAATAATCTTACCTTAACAAAATGAAGGTTCTCCTTGTCAAGGAGAAACTCCATGGATTTGTGCGGGCGTTGATCGATGCCAGACGCGGTTACGTCGTTTCGTTGGTTCCTGTGGCAAGAGCCGACGGGCAACTGAGGTACACGTAGGGCGTTCTCTAAGCTCGTACCTTGGGGTACGACGCTTGAGGTGTGGTTCAGATCTAACAGACTCCTAGTTTTTTTGTTTCCGTTACCAACGTTGTTACAGCCGGATGAATCAACGATGTTGTTCGTCGTCGTGTTAGACGATTTTGTTAATACGACCTCGTCATCGAGGTCGGTCTCGAGAAGCCCGACCGGACGCTGCTCCTGCTGAGCGGCCTGCATCGCGCGGGCCTTCGCCATTTCGATAGCCGCCGGATTTCCAAGGTCTGTCGTGGCGCGTCGGCGCGACACCCCCGCCGACGACGACGCCGATGACGACGATGACGACGACGACGACGGTGCCGAAGTCGTCGACGACGATGATGCCACCGCACCCGAGATTCTACAGCCCGATGATACTAGACGGGGTGGTTGTGGTGGTAGGGGTGGTTTGCTGCTGCATACTGGCGCCCTCCTACCGGAACTGAAACAACCCTCTCCGACTCTTACATCATACGTTCCCAGAAAATACATCTATTAGATACTACCAAGGAAGTCAATTTAACTTTTATTTTATTTTGTAATTTTATTTTGAGGGAGGGGGCGATTTTTTTCTTTTCGATCACTGATTATAAAATTCTTTTTATTGGACGTTATTCGCGTTTTATGGTATTATTCTATTTAATGTTTTTTTTTTTTATTTAACGATGATAATTATTTATGAGTAATAATTAATTTGAATGTGATCTATATTTCAATTTTACGTTGTAAGAGAATTAATGTCACGTGTTCGATAGTGATATTATAGTTCTTTTCAGTTTGCCCTTTTCTTTTCTTAAGGTTCCCTTCTTTTTCAGAGACAGTGTATATATGACAATAGGCCATCGAGAAAACGTCTAAGATTGGTCAACGCAGTTCTGATTCTTGTAAATACATGTTTCTGAGCTTCTTTCGATTCGCAACACGTCGCGATAATGATTTTTAACAAATTTTGATAATCGTCGCTATTTTATCGTTTAACTAATTTTAAGATTCCATTTAATATCCAATTTCCAGTAAGAATACTACTATTACTATTACTACTTATCGTTAGAATCCGATTCATGAGAACGCGTATTGCTCACAATAATTCCATTCACACGGAGTTTCTTCGTAGTTATCAAATAAGAATAAAATAGTAGTTATTTAGGGTTCATACTCCGCGACGAGCTCGGAACAGTGCATGTTTGTCCTCGATGTTAAAGCATATGGTAATCCGCTGTTTCTAAAGCTTATGTTAGTTATATCTAAAGATAGAGTGTCTTATATGCATTGAAAAAAGTTCCTTTATCTTCTTACCGTTTGAAACCGATGATTTATTAGAGAAAGAAAAAAATTCAAAAACATACAGATAACGATTCAGATATATTACGAATGAATAACAAAATTTCTATTTATCATTTCCTGTAAATAGCAATAAGTTATTGAACGTCGTCTCGAAGAATTTCCTGAAGATGCAATTTTATAAGAAAAAAAAATCAAATTATTTGAAGAAAATACGTCGATGTTCAAACCGTCGCGATAATCTTTGACTTTCGAAAAGGAAAAATTTCATCGTACGTTACAAACTTTCTACTATGTTCGTTCTATCGCGTAAGTATTATTGGTAAATATGTAAAAGGTTTATTTGCATTTACAAGAATATATTACAAATATATTACAAATTATGAATATTACCTTTTTATATTAAATCCAAGCGTCATCAGATTTGTAATCATTTCAAATTAAACAAATTTTTATCCACGTATTATGATTGTCGTTATATATTGCGATAATTATCTCCCTATCGATATTTATAAATAAATCGATTATAAACGAGTTGGTTAGATTAAAAATCATATCTCGTAGTTTATAAGCCTCGAATGTAACGATATGAGTCAGGAACTCGATAATCATGTACTACACAGAATGACACCTACGCGACGTCGCGTGTCAATGACACAAAATAGCGTATGCCTAAACGTGAAAGTGGTACGTGCAGGTTCTAACTAACGGATGTAATCGAGGAAATCGTGAATTAAGTATGTATGATGAGTATCTCAACCCTTCGTTGGAGAGCTTCGTAACGGAACACCAATTCTGCTGTCGAGAACGACATAACTGTTCCTTTTTAGTACGTTAAGTTCATTTAACGACACAGAAGCATTTATACGACATATTATAATCAATACAAAATAAATAACAAAATAAGATGTTACATTCGTTAAGTAATATTACGCGAACTAGGGAGTAACTCATCTTACTAACTGCTTCGCAATTAACTGAAACCGGTAAGAATTATACTTATAGTAATTCTATCTCTCTCTCTCTCTCTCGTAACTCATCATATATGCATGTATAGTGCGTTACGTAATAGTTATTTCTGATGCTTACTAGAAACATGCAATTCAAACATGGCCAGACTTCGTAAGTACAATGCACCGTGCATCGTATCTAAACACTGTAACTGCGTTTACTTATCACATTTCAAAAGAATGAAAGAGAGAGAGAGAGAGAAAGAGACAAACAGAGACAGAGAGAAAAAACAATCAGAAGAAAAACTTATACGATCTCACGAAGAGAAGAATGACGTTAAAAAACGAGACTTTATTAAAGCTCAGAAAAAGAAGAAGAAGAAGAGAATCATTCGCGAATGGAGATACGAAAACGTGGGAATGTTTTGTGTTATACTTTGAACTCGGTTCTACTTCCCGGAACGCGCAATAAACGAGGGATTATAAAAAGCTCCGTTTCTACTGATCTTTGGAGAAGGGGTAAGAGGGGATGATGGGAAATTAAGGTTTTTCTCAACGCGCGAACTCACGTTACAAATTATTCTTTGAAGCTAGTCAAACGGCAACTACTCATTTCTAAGAATCTTATTCTCGGGCAAGAGCTGATATATTTCATCAAAATCCAATAAAGTAAAATAGAATTATCCACGGTAGGTGGTACGTGCACGCTACGTCGTCTGTTAACTATCCGATGTTTGTCCGGGGAGCTATTACGTATCAGAAACTGTCGAGATAGCAGTTTTCTCGCATAACAATAAGTCTGTTTACACTGACATGAGACAACAAATGATTATTAATATTACTCATAATATTCGATCAAAGATCCAAAAATAATGTTAAACGTGATCAATGTGCATCTCAAAGATAAGAGAGAAATTTTGGCTAACGTCCAAATAAAAAGAAAAATGCGTGTCAAACAAGAAGAGATCCCTGCTCGATAAAAGCATCAGATCGAATCTAATGTAAACAAACACGCGGCAAAGGCTCGTACCAGTCAAGCTGAGTATAAGATACGCCTTGTATTTCATAATGATAGAAACGAAAGGGCGTTCTTGCGAAACGTATTATTTATAACATATATATCTGTGTGTAATTAAATCGCTTGCTGCGCAAACGTATTATATACAAAACTAGCCTGCCTTATTTAAACGAAAATGATAATAAAACGATGATTCGTAATATTTGGTCGTTCGTAACTTGATCTTATTTCGTCGAACACACGTAACCTCCTCACGTCCGACACAAAAATAGCATAGAGTTTATCCGTTGGTTTGACTCCAGTAGAAGCTGATGAAAAACAAAATGACTCACCTAACACTAGAGGCACTCCTTTGAAGATCGACGTTGATTCTCCTAGTATCGTCAGGTCTACTTTCAAGTGCAACGACCTCATCCTTTGATCTCTCTTCGTCCGGCGGATGCAAGGGTATAATGATATAATCCGGTTCCTTCTTCGTCCTTTCCTGATAAAATTCATTCCGATTCGAATGTTGTGCAATACGCGAATCGCCTTTGCTTTGTATTTCCGAGCGAGGTACCTTCGATCTACCACTAAACCTCAATTTGGAGAATCTCTGTAAGAAACAACCGATACCACCCTTCTTTCTTTCTTCGCTCTTCAGAACCGTTGGTTGTTTAGAATTGAGGCTTGCTGATCTTTCAACCGTTGTATTTATCCTAGGTTTCGATACATTCTTCGTGTAAGAATCCGTGGTCTTGCTCGTCGATGAAAAATTGTCAATTTTTGCCGGTAAAGTCATACTTTCCGTTGTCTTCGTTGTCACCGTCGCCGTTGTCATTGCTGACTTCATCATTTCCTCCTGTTGTCCGTCACGATCACTGCAATGATTCGTATCAACTGGCAAAGCAGCTGCCGTCGCTGACTGACTCCCACTACTTTGACTAACTTTCAGGCTGTAGGCTTTATTGCTGCTTGGTGGGGAAGTACGATCACCATGAACAGTTTGTCCCCACGCTTGCTCTACCACCACTTCCGCCTCCTTCTTATTATGCCCCTCTATCATCGCTTCTACATTCTCCCCAGCGTCTACCATCTTCTTCGTAACGCTCTTACCGGAAATCTCACTCGTAACTTGCCGCTCCTTTTTCTTGCTGTCTTCTTCTTCTTCTTCTTCTTCGTCGTCGTCTACTCCACCACCATCTGTCAATTTCTCCTCTCTCTTCTCTCTTTTTTCCGAAGGTGAATCCTCTTCGTTCTCTCTTGTACGAATAGACAAATTGTTCTTTTCTGGATAAAATTCGCCTATGAAAGATCTCTTTTTTTTCAATTTCACTTCGCCAGGACTTTCTTCTCGTGTCTCATCGTCGCACAAGGAAGCGATGTTTTCAAGTAGCATCGTTTCCTCCAAAATGTCACGAAAGGTCCCGTCGTTATTTATTTGTTCACTATTATTGGGATCTCCTTCCTCTTCTAACATGGTGTCCATCAGGTTAAGCTTTCCTATGGGTTTACTCTCAAGGCAGGGATAATCTACCTCATCGTCTACGAAAATACGTTTATTAATATTTTCTCCATGTACCGAAAAGAAAGCCGAGTTTTTTTTTATCTGACCAAAAAGCGATTCATCGATATGCTTCGAAACATTCTCCGTAGACTTTGAATAGGAGCCGAGCGAGGGTGCGAAATCGTTGGCACGAGAATCACCGCTTAGATTCAACGCTGAACTGCTGCCAGTACGCGTTGATATAGAGTCAGGTTTCTTGAGACGCGAGGATCGTCCTGAACGGGATTCCTCCAGTTCATCGCAGGCATCCATTCGTTGAAAAGCGCCTCTGCTAGCTTGAAGAGACTTGATGTAATCATATTGCTGTGCCAATTCGTAACTGGCATTATTGATGACTCGTTTCTTCCTACCAGTATTTCTAGGTGACCTCGTATTTTCATCACTGGAGGATGGTGTCGCACGCCTTCGGAAACTTCTCTCGTCAACTTCAAATTGTTGAGCCAATTCGTAACTTGCGTTTTTCTTTACCTTCTGCGATAGTTGCTTATTGGCATACTGCTTACGAATAGCATCTACAATATCGTTGCTATCACCATTTTCTTGTTGTAACCGTTTCATGGCCTCGTCGACGACTGCGTCTATATTGTTCTCCATAGCCATCGCTATATCCAATACGTTGCTACGATCTTGAGTCTTCACGGTAGTTGCGATCTGTTGTTTATCCTCGTATTCATCGCTGTCAGCATCAATGTTCTCATCTTCGCCATTCTGCATATTCGTTGTCGATAGATCGTTGTGCATCCCTCCAACGTCAATTCTTGCATTTTGCGCAGGCTGAGTTCTCACCGAACATTTTGACCGTCGTTTTGTTGTCTCAATATTATTTTCCTTCTCGTTAGATCCAAGCAATTCGCCATCTTCGTGATTCAGCATATCCTCCAGACCGCGTACGCTTTTAACTTCCGCCATTTTGTGATCTCTCATACTCATATCGTTACACGATCGTTCATCCTCTTCTCTCGTTGATGTTGATACGCCACAAAGGTCCAGGTCTATCGGTACGCTGTTAACTTTAGTATAATTCTCAAATAAATTAGATGTTGATACAAACGACTTTGATCTCGAAGAAACGAGCTCTTGATCGTGAGCGTATTCGTCGACGATCGAAGGCAGACTGGGTGCGCTTTGAGATTTATCCGTGAATCTAAAATTAAAACATTCTTCTTCGGTCCACCGTTGACGTTGATATTGCTGGTGCTGCCGCTGCTCGTGAAGATGCTCGTGACCGAAACGTTGCTGTTGCTGACGAAGATGATGACGAGAATGACGAGCATCGTGTTCGCTGTTCATCTTACTATGACCATGAGCCGTGCTACCGGTTATATTTAAACTTGTCTGTAGCAGACGCGTGGAAGACGACGTTGCCTTTTGGCCAGACTTCAGATCTAAGAACGCATCCCTTTTTGACTCAATACCGATTTCTCGCAGATCTATAGTGTTTTTATAATCCAATGACGTCGCGTAATTGCAACTCGAATCACCGAAGATGTGCAATCGGTCCTCGAAGTATCCATGGCGACTTGAATTTAATAACCGGTCGTCTCCCTCGAATTCTTCGTCGTCGCCGTCGTTCTCGAACTCCTCTTCCTCTTCCTCTTCCTCTTCTTCCTCTCCGTACCAAAAGTTTCTGTTTCATATGAAATTTAAATTTATGGAGTTACTCTTTAGAAAATATAATGCAATACAAACGGTAAAATAATAGCGACATATTTTTTTTTAACAATCTTGTTAAATATAAGGTATAGTTTGTACAATAGTTTAACTTCCAAACTTGATAATAATAGGTGTAAAGTCAAGGATGTTTCTTCATGGCCAGGATCGCATTTATCTTAGCCAACAAACATTTGTTATACCTAAAGCTAATTCTCGCGATTTGTGTAACCACTGCCAAGAGAGTTAAAATGTATGTATATTCTATTTCGCACTATGAACGATTATTCATGCAATTCACGTAATTTTATATACAATAATATATTTATTTTTACTTTATAAAAACTATATACCGTTATACGAATTCGTCCCTGAAAAATAATCAAAATCTCACCTAGATCGCAGTTCGTTTTTTTCGGATCTTGGAAAATTCAATTTCCTCTTAGGATAAGACGATATACGTTCATTGAATGTTGTCACCTCTTCAAAGTCCGTAGCCTTTTGACAAATATCTAAACTTTCGAAGCTACGGTAGGGCCTGATTCTTGGAAAATGTTCGACAGAATTGGAAAACCCATTTTGCACTATTGCATCGTTATCTTGCTCAAGACTATCCGGCGATGTGTTCCCCAAGTGAGACACATTCGAATGATTGGAATACTCAAGAGAATCGAAACTATAACTGGACGGTGATAAAGTGGCGCAAGTCCTTTCTAGAGACTCGAACTGTAACAATGAACTGGATCTAGATGATCCAGAGGACCTTGAAGATCTCGGAGATCTTGGAAAATCATCAAAAGTCGCATAAGGATCTCGCTCGTCTGTGTTATTATTTCTTCGGCATTTCTTCTTAGGTATTATGGAGTTGTATTCGACATCATTATCATTTATTCTTTCGCCTGGAAAATAATGTTGAATTATTATATGTATATAAGGTTGAATGTGAAATATTACCATAAATGATCCATTTAAACGTACCCGTAACGTTTTTTCTCTCGATGTGAATAACACTTTCCGTTTCCGAATCGGAGCCCAACCAATAAGTCGTCCCACTATGATCGGAATCACTCTGCAAATCGTCGGAGGTTTCTTCGAAAATGGTTTCTAAAAAATCTACTTGTTGTACTGGCACTGCGTCTGCAATTACAAATGATTCTTTTATGTAGAACACTTAAGTATGTCGAATTTTTAAAATAGCGTTAAGTAAATGGAATAGAACTAAACCTATTGTAAATTTATGAGCTGTATAATAAAACAAACATTTATGATTCTTATCAAAATTCAGCTTTTTCTTTTACCACTCAAGTAGAAATTTTATGAAAGTTTTCATATAATAAAAAAGATACATTCAAAAGATAATAACTTTTGCATTTATCCTCGGTCGATCATTAAATACGAGTTATTTGTACGGAAAACTATCGCTCGGTTTTTACTACCAAGTCAATTAAATGTCTAAAGAGTATATCAAGAACGGAATTTCATAAAGGCTTATTTCATCGATCGATCGATCGATGAAATAATAAACCTGTAGAACGAACGTTCAAGTAATTCATTCCAACGTATTTACATTACTTGCAATAAGCGACGTGATATTTTGTTCAGAATAAAGCAGCAACAAAAAAAACTTGATCTATCGATCGCGGAAAATCCTTGAAAAAATAAAGATCCTCCCACGAGCGATATAGTTGAAGTGATCATCAAAGGAGTATCTCGTAGAAGATAGATGGTATGAAGAAAGAAGGGAAAGCGGTCTTGATCATGAAAGCAAGAAGGTTATTCCGTATTAAGTACTGAATAAAATGATGTATGAGTATGAGCGAGATGGAAATAGAAAGAGAGAGAGAGAGAGAAAAAAGAAAGAAAGAAAGAGAAAGAGGAGGAAGAGAGAAAATAGAAGTAACTGGTATAAGAACGGATAGAAGAGGAGGTGTGAGAAAGAGAGACAGACAGATATAAAGACAGACAAAGAGACTAAAAGAGAAAAAAGAAAAAGAAAAAGAGAAAGAGAGATATATATATATACATATGTATATATAACGAGCAAACCTTTAACACGTAGATCCTCGTGCGTGGATTGAAAACGGGAATGATGTTGTAGTTGGAAACCATAGGCCGGAAGCCATGGATTCGGTCCGTTTACCAGATTCATGTCGATGGATCCATCGAGGGAGGACTTTTCCTGCTCGTCCTCCATTGTCCCTGTGCATGATGCCAGCACAGACGCCGGTGGCGACGTTACCATTCCTAAATCGCTATCGCTCATTTCCTCTCTCTCTCTTTCTTTGAGAGAGATCAAAAAGAGGGACCAATATATTCGACCCCCTCAAGCGCAGCCAATCATTAATCGGCTCGGTAAATCGCCTGTCTTTTGTCTTATCCCGTTTAAACACCATTCATACTCAACTATCTCTCTCTTTCCCGTTTATTTCACCCTTGGGGAAGAAGCCTTCAGGCTTATGGTACCGATGATTTAATGTCATTTTTTTTTTATAAGAATCTACGTTTATCGATAGCTCCCAATCTCTTCGATGTTTTATCAAAGTTTGTACGTTCGATCATCGAACCCGACGTTGACGGCCATTTTGGTAATGCTAAATCAATGAAAAAGAAAAATGTCTTGTTAAATTGGAAGACTTCTCTACTCTGATTTGATCTTTCGTTTTTGGATCGTTGAACCGGACGAAATCGGACGACGCGTCAACGAGAGAAACTTTAACTCGCTAAAGTACCGACGACTAATTCGATAAGAATCCAAGTATACGCCCCCAACGTAGGGTGAATTAAAGAAAGTGGATACTTCGTGTAAAACGTAATTACGTGTACGATCATCCGAGAGAACGAGAGAGAGTGAATGTCTCTTTCCGCTCGGTCCGGTTTGTACCGAATTAGTTTTTAAAAAGAATACGAACTTTCAACGGAGTTTGTTGTTTCTTAGAATTTAAGGATTCTTGATTGTCGCGTGTTTGAGAGTGTGTGTAAGATATATGTGCCGATAATTATTATAGGGAATTAAGACCAATAACAAAATAATAGAAATAATTTCTCTTACAATTTACTTTATAAAAAGTTTGTTTTCCGAGGAAATCCGAAAAAATCCGAGGAAAGAATTTTTTTCATTTTGTTGATTTGGTCCATTGTCATAATTACCAGCGCATATGGATATATACTTGAAAAAGTAGGTGTATGGTTAAATTATATTTTGTGAGGTGAAAGTGACGGTGCAAATATCTGTGACGGTGTTATGCAATCTTTGGATACAGGTATGTACTGTGATTTAAAATTTATGGATAGTATATTGATCCGATAAAAGAATAAATCCGACTTAAGTGTTCATTTTATTGGGGTTACTTGTTTGATACATTGTAGTACGAACGTACGAAAGGAAATGAAAAGATCGAATTAAAGAGAAAGAGAGAGGGAGAAAGAAAAACGGTTGGGAACGATGTACGGTGATATATCCCCCTGAGGAAGTTCACCCGTTAGCAGCTGTCAAAGGACACCGCAGCATCCATGACGCGTCAAACAGAAGAATGTTGGACGAAGATCGAGATGTAAGAAAAAACTGAAAGAGGTGAATGATCGTGTTGTAACGTAGTCGCATATCATATATATGTAGAAAACAATTGCACGCGTGACACATACAAAGAAACATGTGTGTACGTTTGTTTGTGCATATACAACAGGTGACAGGTGTTAGATATTAATCGATCTAAGAGAATATCAAAATTATAAATGACGAAAAGAATGAAATTGTTTAAAAACTTTAATCTTTCAAGTATCTTCAATGTCCTCATCGACTGTCTTTATTTAACCGTTGTACAAATATTTCGTCTTTCTCTTGTTTTTTTCTTACAAACCGAATGAATTTTGATGTTACTCATCAAATGAAATGGATCGATAGAAATGGGACACCTTATATATAAATACGTAGGACATAACGTTCCGATTAGAGTAGGATGAAAGGAGAAAGAGATAGAGAAGAAAAGAAAGGAGAAAAGAGAGGGTAGTATGCGATCATCGGGTAGGAGCAGAAGGAGATGGCGGAGAAAAGAAGAAAAAGGAGCATGGAGAGGAAAAAGGATATAAGGAGGTTAGAAACGCATGGAGAATTCCGAAACGCTACGGTAATGCGCGGCAGAGTGTCTGTCCGATACCTGTAGTAAAGTAAGCGCGCACATTCCACAATCCCACGGTGTTGCGCTTACTGTCTCTCTCTTTCTCGTCCTTATTACCTTTACCCTTTTACTAACAGTCTCTCTCTCTCTCTCTCTTTATCTTTCTCTAAATCACCTTTTATTTTATAGCCGTAAACTTATACAAGAACGTACCGTAAGGTGAAAAATGATCAAGGAACGTTGACATAGCGCTACTATACGTTCAAATTCTTCGTTTATAGAAAAAGAAGAAAGAATTGAAGAAAAAATATTTCCTTTTCTATAATCAACCGATCACTCGCGCGATTTTGTGAAGATGGCGAACGTCTCGCATCATGATTCGCCACTCTGTCACTTAACGTCCATCGTAATATAATATTTGCCGTTATTCTCGAATAGGTCGTTGAATTTGATTAATTACCTGATTCACAGAACCCACAGATCAGCTTATAGAATACGATAGAACAACCGCGAGTAAAGTATCTTCGCACTGCGAGGTAAATACTAGAACGAAACTCACCGCTTTCGCCCGCGGTGCCGCGTCTCCGGCCCCCACCCACGTAAACTACCGCCACGTGACATGCTCGGACCGCCAATCACACAAGTCCGAATCAGGCCCCTCTTAAAGGCCTTCGTAAAATCATCTTCCTGTGGATCAAATGCTCCGATTTTCTCTTGATTTTTTTCTGTTACGTTAATTTTATTTTATAAAAAGAATATTTTCTATTAACGTTAACTTGAACGATTGTAATTTAATAAGCTTTACAATTACAGACATGTTTATGTGACTTTTCTACAAGGAATATGCAGGAGAAATGTATGTGTATATGTGTTTAGATTACATACAATGAAATTTCGTTTTACGCGCGCTCATTGCATACAAGTAGACACCTGCATGAATGTAGATAAATGCATTTATCGCGTGTATGCAACGCACGTATATAAAAATGAAGAATCGCATACACTGTTGCACGAATTATTATTCCGCGGACAATTGAAGAAACGTTCTCTACAAGAATAAACAAATAACATATTCAGCGATATATGAAGTATTTTCATTTACTTTTTTATTTATTTCATTTTTTTTCAGTCGATTTTTATTAATTATTGAAAATATCGATTATTTTTCGTTTATTCATTTGTATATACTCTGTATATATATTTCTTAATACTTCTCCTAACAAAATATATATTGATTACGGTTATAGCGTTTAATAACTTGCCCAATTAACTAATTTTAAAGTTTTACTTATTGTTTTACAGATTTAAAATTGAGTTTAAATAAAGCGCCATATTGAAAATGATTACATCAAGCTGACAACACTGTATAGGTAGTACAGTCTATTTAGCTACTATGTCATTGTGATTAAATGGAGGTTTTGATTGTTGCATTGCAGTGCATTAAAAGCTAGTTTAATTAATGTTCGTCAAAATAATGAATTTTAACGTGCAAAAAAGTCATCGAAGTGACACATAATACATCATATGTTACTTACAAAGATGATATGGGCGAAGTTGACACGTGGACACAGACGAAAGTATACTTGCTGCAGCACAATGCAATAGTAACGAAGTAATTCAAGGATTTGACATATCACCGTTCGAAAATGTCATGTGAACGTGCAATAAATGCGTGACTCAACATGTCCATGAAAGTACGTTTCTTAGTCCATAAATTTAAAAATGATAGTTCTATTCAGTAACTTAAATAATGTAGATTTTAACATTTGATAAAAGTTGTGTAATAGGTTTTTTTTCATTTCTCTCTTCTAGAAAGAATCACCTTGGGATGTAGAATTGCATCTTGCAGCTGCACATGGAGATGCAAAACGTCTACGTATATTGCTTGATTCTGGTAGAGTTCATGTTGATTGTAAAGATAAGGTTTGCATAACATTCATTAATGTATATAATTTTAATTAATATAACAAAATAAGTAAAAACTTTAAACTTAAAAGGATGGAACTACTCCTTTAATACTTGCTGCTGCTGGAGGACATATAGAAGCTGTCACTGAACTATTACAACAAGGAGCAGATCCTAATGCTAAAAGACTGGTATTGTATAATCTGTTAATTTATATAAGTGTATCCTTACATTAAATTAATTTAACTTAGTTGTAGGGTATTTCTCTTTTTAGACAGGGACCACAGCTCTTTTCTTTGCTGCCCAAGGTGGTTTTATGGACATTGCTAATTTGCTTTTAGAACATGAAGCACTCGTTGATTCTTCTAGTATGGTAAGTGAATGAAAAAATTTGTAAATATCAATGATATTTATTGCATTTCTATAAATTGTAGGATGGAGGTACACCATTATTCGTTGCTTGCCAATATGGTCATTTAGATGTTGTCGAAGGTCTTCTGGATAAAGGTGCCAATCCGAATGCACATATGAAAGTAAGCAAAAACTTATTACTAAAAAAAAATGATTTTATATTTAAATAAAATTACTATTATTAATAAAAGGACGGAGCTAGTGCATTATTCATTGCTGCACAAAATGGTCATGTGCGCATTTTAGAAGTTTTATTGGAACATAATACAAGAATAGATACTATAAGAACAGATGGTGCTACACCTTTATGGATTGCAGCGCAGATGGGTCATGATCACATTGTCAGACAACTCTTAAAAGCCGGAGCAAATGTTAATGCTACCAGACATGTAAGCCTTTTTGCAACATCAAACATTAATTTATTTTGTAAATATTATATATAAATTCTTTAATAAATTATTATATTTTATATAGGATGGTGCAACTCCTCTATTTAAAGCAGCGCATAAAGGCCATACGGCTGTTATTGGAGAGTTACTCAAATACCGTCCTTCACTTGGTATTCTTCCCGTAAGTTAAATAATTTTATATAAAACACAAAAGTTATAAATTTGCTTATCTTGCTTTGGCTGGTATTTATAAAAGTTACTACTTTTGATCATGGTATTAAATCAACAATTAATAATGCAATAAATGTTTTGCGTATACCTACTAAAGCTTTTTCTTCTTCAGTTTTCTTCTATTGTAAATATTAAACTCACGTCATCCCAAGCAATTCCTTAATAAAATAAGTAGACAAATTTCTGTCTTTGAAGATATAAAAGTCTATGCTTCATAAAACTATGAATTGAAACCAAAAATGTATAAATATTAATATTCTTAGTTTAATATGATCACAAAACAATGATAATTTTATAATATACACCATAGAACTTGAGAAAATATATATCTATGCATTATTCTAGAATGGTGAAAGTGCATTACATGCTGCAGCTTTAGCAGGACACATGACAGTTGTAAGACAATTGGTAGGAGCAGGAGCCGATCCTTTGCTTGTAAACCAAGAAGGTGTGACACCGCTTCAACTAGCTGTTAGACACTCACAAACTCAAGTTGCCAATTATCTTAAAGATAAATTAAGGACACGAACCGCAGCATGTTAGAATCTTCTTAAACTTTAAAAAAAATATCATGATTTTTAAAGGTAACTTTCAAGTCTTCAAAGATATTATACAAATAAAACATATGTGCAAGTGTACGCACATTAGCATAAGGTAAAATACTCCTTATGTATTTTAATATTGATCAAGTGCAATTTTAATATCGTTTAAAAACGTAAATTTGTGCGTGATACTAACAAGATAATCAGTATATATAGTAAACATTCAGTGATTGTTCAGAAATTCCATTTTTATTCCTGTTAATATTAGTAGTATAATATATAATATAGCATAGTAATATAATTTCATGTTATTGTTAACGATTAATAAGTTAAAACTAATTACTGCACATGCAGAAGATATATTTGATTTTTAAAAGCTGATATACATACATTTATTGTTGAAAGTTATATATTTATTTTTTATGTATACACTTTGTTATTTATATACAGTAATTGTTAAAGTAACTAAACTTACAAAGTTTCAGTGCTTATTAGCAGTCTGAGAAGTGTAAGACACCGATAATGGTATACGCGTGGTAATGATTCTCATGAGATTTAAGATCTTTAAGACTGACTGATTTGCCTTGAAACATATCACGTAGAAATGAAATTTAGAAATTGGTAAAATGTATGGCTTTCCACCGGTGGGAAAGTAAATACTATTGTATCGTAATAATACTTATATAAAAATGTACCATATATTGCAGTGTCAATGAAAAGACAAGACCAAGCATAAATGTCATAATAACTTTCTAATTTCGTTTTTAAACATAATTTCATCAATTTAAAAAAAGCAGAGTAAAATTAATTATTATATAATTTATATTTCTTTTTAAGTAATATACTCAAAAATTCAATCAATACTTAAAAACATCTAAATAATATTAAAATAATTAATATATCTCCACATTAATATTTAACAATAATGCTTGATAAAGTTCTGACTTATCATATCATGTTACCTGCACCACCTTGATTGTCTTCCCTATTTTTGAGATAGTTTAAAGATTATACACACATTGTTGTTATTAAATGATAGATATAATAAAATGCAATAATAAAATGCAATGAATATCACTATAGCAGCACAGTATTTTTTTACTATCGTGTATTAATATGTATTAACTGATTCTACATTAAAATGTAAAGAGCTTCTTGTTTTATAATGTAGAAATCTCATAATAATAATATAATAATAATAATAATAAGAATAATATATTTATTATAATTATTCTATAAAGAATATATACAATTAAAAAATAAATATATAATCTTTGTCAATTATATTTTTACCTATAAAAATACATATTAAGGTATACTAAAGATTTTAATATAATATTTCGTTAGATTGCATATTCCAAGTTTTATTTAGTAGTTTTATTTCATTAATATCACAGTATTGTTTAAATTATGTTACTTTAAGTAAAGATAAATTGTACTCTCTCTTTACATATACTTCTGTATATATTACGCATAACTAAATCTAACAAATATTCTCTTTCTCTGTTTTATGTATCTTAAATATTTATATTAATATAATTTCAACATACTTTTGCATATATATATATATATATATATATATATACCTGTATCTAGTTTAAGAAAAAACTATAGAATATTTTTCTTTTAAATAAAAATTTAAGATATATATGTTTTCCAAATAAAAAAGTTATTTTATGCATCATGAATGTGATAAAGACTATTATGATACAGATATCACTGAGTATATTAAATGGGATTACAATACTTTTCACTTAAGATGAAGAAGGCAAACACGTGTTCGCAATTGATTTAAATTTCGGCCTTGTAGCTCAGCTGCTAAGTGGCTGTTTCCTATTACATTCCAGATGCAAAGTATCTTCATTTACACAGACGATCTATTTTAGATTAAAACTATGCCAAGGATGTTCATGGAAAAATTATTCATAAGTTTAAATCTATCAATTTAAATTACTCACGCGATTTCACGAAATAAATGGAAGATCGACTTTTATCTATTACCTGCAACGCCCTGATAAGATGGATAATGAGATATATATCAAGTGTATTCAGTTCACCAGTATCGTCAGTTACACGTTGATCTTGAAACAATACTCATCATGGTTCGCGATCGCTTGCCGGATTTATGTGCCGTTAGTATATATATATATATATATATATGTTTTTTTTTCTCAAAATTACATAATTTAAGAATTATATATTAATATTGCTTATATATGTAAATATATAATATTTTTCTGCCCTATACAAATACAGTTTATTTTAAGCTTATCAGTAAATATTACTTATATTCTTGTGCTTATTCATCTTATTCTTGTGCTACTTAAATACTTCGTATTGTTAGTCATATCAATCATATTTTTGTCCAATTTATAAGAACATTATATAAATATATTTATTTTTATTTCAAGTCTCGTAATAGCAGTACTACGTTCGGCAGGGGATTTTTGCAAGATGTTCATATTCAAATAGCACAAAATAAAAAATTAAAAGAAGTGCTAATGGAAGTATGTATAATAAATTAATATATGTAATTATATGATACTTGAATAATAAATATATAAAATAATATTAATGTAGGTTGAAGAAGTACGTGATTTAATACAATTGCTTATGGAAAATATATCCATTGTTAAGGATTTGCATAATAATGTTTTATCGCACACAAGCAAAGGTATGTTTCTACTTGATAATATTATTATCAGTTGAAGACCCATTTTTATCTCATTATTTCTAGACTTGCAAAAAGAACTTGAAACTCGTACACAAATCATCTCACAAACAGCTTTTCACATCCAACAAAAATTACGAGGTAGGTGTAATTCTTTTATATATGCGTTATTTTTTGTTATTACCACATCTCTTATTAAACATAAAATTTATTTTTTTAGTTATTCAGAATTATTATCATTTTCAATTCGCTCTGTATTATTTTTTATAACTTTATGATTTAATACTATCTCCTGAGAATGAGATTTTTTTAGTACATTTAATTGGTGATATACAACTACGTTTATGATTGGAACTTCTGTCAGATAATTTGGGTGTACTTGTACTTGGATTAGATTCTTGGCTAAAAATACACGAATTACTTAACTTAGTAAATATTAAATAAGATCGATTATCTGAAAAATTTATCTCAGATTATGAATTATTGATTATATCGAAAGATAATATTTTGGAATACCTTCTTTTAAGGGCCGCTGGTGAAATACGATGTAAAATAACTTTAGGTATACGATTACAAATCGAAAGTTGTATATTGGTTTTAAGATTCTGAGTACCATTCTTATGCGATGCCAAATTTTCATATATTTCAACATTATTAGTCTCCATGTTTACATCTTTATCAACATTTCTGAAACGTAATATTACGTTAGTAATCAGCACATTATTTTCATAGAATATCTTTATATATAAAAGAAAAAATTAAGAATATACTTTTTGTATTGATCCATTTCTTCTTCCAATTGTGGATATTCATTTAACAAATTTGTAAGTTGTTCTTTGCTATAAATTGTATACATTCTAAAAACAAATCTCATTAGATCATGTTTTAAGGGTGATTTTAAAATTTCTAATTTTTCTTTAACTTTTAATAATGTTGGCAGTAATATATCTAAACCATGCCTTTTCATTCCTTCTATAATTATAGTTATTGCATTAGTAGTTAATACATCTGATGGATTTATGAAATCTTCTGGATCTTGAGAATTTATAGCATGTTTATTAGATGATAGAAATAGTTGTAAACGCTCATTATTAAGTATATATAATGTGTCTTTTAAGACACATGCTCCTTCTTCACTTGTAACATTAATTGCACCATTAAAAACTCTACCTAGTATTTGTGTAGTTAGTTTTACAAGTAATTTTATTTTTTCAGGAGGATCTAAATGCTCTATCATAAAATTATAAATAATTGCTCTGTTACTATGATTTTTATTTCCAGGAAATGTTAAAATTTCTTTTTCTTCCTTTCGCATTTTACGATTATATAATTTGTGCTTAAATTGATAATTATTATAATGAAATATGCTTTCCAAAAACTTTTGTGAAATTAATACTTTATTCTTTCTTAAAAGTCTTTCTTCAATTAAAAAAATAGTTAACTCTCGTATCATTTTATCTGGGTCAAATAGCATGGTTAATATATGGAAAAAGAATGGTCCTTTTACTTTTATAAAATCTTCTAACAATAATTTTATAAATATTACAACAATAGCTTCTCTTAATATAGAATTTTTATCTTTCATACAAATACACATATCTGACAAATAAGGTTCAACTAATGTAGTGAACCTAATACAAAGATCTGCTAAAGCTTTTGCAGCATTCACCTTTATTGCTATTTCTGTGCTTGAGTTGTGATTTATATTTGTACGTAAGAGTCTACCTAAAATTGGTATTACCTCTTGCGCTATCTTATGATCCCTGATTGCATGTTGTCCAAGTACAACCACAGCAAAAGCATGTAATTCTTTTACTTCCTTTATTGAATCTGGTAATGTTTCTGATTCAAGTAATATGCCTTCCAAAATACGTAAAGTAGATGATGAAAGTTTATTAGTACATGAAAATGCAGTATGTCCTAATGTAGACATAGCTTTTATGAAATGTGATGTATCTATAATTGTTCTATTATTATTTTTAAATATTTTCTCTATTTGTAATTCTGATATTTCCATTAATTCCATCATATTCGATTGCATTAATTGGTTATTATCGTCAGGATGCAATTTTTTTATTATTCCACCAATGATATCAAGACAAATACTGATTAAACTAAAATGAATTTTAAATTCACGAAGGCATTTATAAAGATATTCATACAAATCCTTCATGTCGTCTTTACTTAAAGACGACCAAGAATTTTTCAATATTTGTAAAATTAAATTTGTATTATAATTATTTTTTTCTATAAAATCCTTACAATTGCCAATATATTTATCCAAATTTGGTAATTTCATGCTTTTAGATATTGCTGTTAAAAGAACCCATGCAGATGTATCATTTGTTGATCCAATATGTGATTGTATATCTGTGATTAAAGAGTTATTTATGAGATTATTTTTAATCCATATTTCACAAGCTCTTGATAAATGTTTTATCATTTTCATGTCAATTAATTTACCCACGATTCTCCATGGTAAACTGCTTATTGCATTATCAATATAATTGGAATGATTTGTTACCTTACTTATTAGTAAGTCTTGGAAAGATTCTAGTGCTTTTTCTTGTACTTTAATTTCAGTATCAAATATTTGTGGTAATACTGTTTCTATCCACTCGTTAAGAATTTGTGAATCACTAGGAAAATATTTTAAAATAACAGATAATGTATGTATAGCAAAACAACGTACAGTCATTACAGGGTCTCTGCAACGACGACCAATTATAGGAGCAACTTGACATATCAGTATGGGAAACTTAATAGTCAAATTTTTTAAAATTTGTAGTGCACTTTTTCTTATTAATGCTCTTTCGTCTTCCACTCGATCTATTAACATAATGAATACTACATTCAATCCTATTGGATTAACATCTTTTATTAACATTTTTTTTAATTCATCAAGTAAAGGAAGTGTTTCATCTGAGCATGATACTTTAGATGTGTCTTCTACAATCATATCAGTGATATTATTTTGTGTGTCCGTAAACTCTGCAATTATTGCCATAGCTTTACTTCTTACTATATTAGAAGAATCAATACATCTACTCAATGTTGTAGCAATCAATGCTTTTATTATTTTCTTTTGTTGAAAAGATTCTATTAAATTGTAGTTACTTAAATTAGATTCTAGTAAAAGTTTTCCAATGATCTCTTGAGCAAAAACCCTACAGGATACTTTCGTATGATGTGAAAGGGATATTATATCATTAATAATATACACAATGATGTCTCCTTTGCATATCGTAAGAAGTTTTAACAATACTGTGACTTGCTTTTGACGAGCTTCTTGTCGTTCTGGACATTTAACCATAATATATTGTATCAATGTCATTAAAGCAATCTTAGCTTCTTTTTCATAAGTATCTAATAATTTTCTTAATAAATCTATTGTTAATTCATGCATATTTGACATTAATTTTATTTGATGATCATTGTGATTATTAAAGAGAAAATGAGGATGTATATATTTTACTATTATCATAATAGTTGAATTGATAGGTCCGTGTTTATTATCACATAATTCATAAAGAGCTGTATAAGCATTACAAAACAAGCTATTTCCTGTCTTTTGACATTCAAACTGATTAACATCAATAACTTCAAGTAATATGAAGATAGTAATATCTAATGAATCTGAATAAGCTCGAAATGAAAATAACTTGATCATTGCAATGAAATCTGACAAAATACTTTCCAGACCTTCCATCAGTAAAATCTTTTCAGAGAGTGAATAAACATAAACATGATCTCTTGATTCATCTTCGCTAATATCCATACATTCTAAATTAACAGTTTTATTTTCTTTTCTATTCATTGGAATTAGGTACTTGCATAACTTCAAAGATTCAATTGCTTTTTCATATAGATTTGGATGAAATATATTAAAAGCATGACTTCCAGGTATGGCTAATAACATGAAATATAAACTTGTAGCATTTAAACAAGTTTGCTTACTTGTTTTGCTAGCTTTGTCATGTTGTCCAGATTTGATTATATAGTATAAAACCGATAACAAAGCATGCACATTTATATTCAAACTTACTAATGCACCCCAAGAAATCTCTTCTTCTTCATTATTGTATTCTTTGGAAGTATCAATTTCAGCAAGCCAATCTTTGACAATTTCACATGTGTTTTGTAATAATAGGTCCATATCCTCGCTTTTAATAAAAAGAAAATAATCATCCTGAGGTGGTTCTTCGCAGGTTAAGAATTGTGAATTCCACACAGTATTTACCCACTTATCGTTCAAATCATGCAATTTAAAATTGTTAAAAATTTGTAGAAGCTCCATCATAGAATTAATAAACCAAAATTGTTTTATATGACTATTTATAAACCAAGTATAATATGAGAAGATAACCTTAATCTATCATTTTTCGATAAAGCAAACTTAGTCTTCAAGTTATCATTCTTTGAACACCTATAGATAATGAATATATGATCCTGTCCCAATTGATATCACAAAAACTGATATTTATTAAATACATGTGATATAACATTTCGTTTAAAATACAGTTGCCGCTGGAATAAATGATATCATTCACCTAAAGGAGGGAAACCAAGAAGCCAATCATAATCGTTATAAAATATATATATATATGTATATATATGTACATGTATAGAATTAATTTATTTTGATGTATTTGTTTTAAATTTTCTAATTTTAGACTTTTAGGATTTTTACATTTGAATAAATAAAGGCTACAAATCATGAACATTTATTGCATTTATTTTGTATATATTTTTATATAAAAATAAATTATTTATTTTACGCTTGTCTATACCATTTTGTTTTATTATGCGCGGCAAACATCTGTTTAAATAGAATAAACCATCTTTAAGTGATAACAAAAAAGGCTTTATTTTTTACTATAGAAATCGAATATATACCCACTTTTTTTTTATGTATATGTATATATACATACAAATAAATTATGCCGGATATATACACCTATTTACTTAGTATTTTTTTAGGTATGAAGGAAAATATAGCTGCTACAGATTCTTTTAATACAGATAATATAAAGGAAAATCCTGCTCATATACGAATCAAACGATTACAATATGCAACTATGTTAAAGATGTTTTCAGATATTATGGAGGATTATAATGCATCATTATTAAGATATCATGACAAATGTTTACAGCTTTTGCAACAACAGAGAATGTTAAGTAAGTTATACATGATACAATAATGTAAAAGCTATTCGCAAGTCAAAAAAATTAACTTTCACTTTACACAATTTTTTAAATTTTAGTTCAAAAAATCAATTGATACTTAAATTTTCATATTTGAAATGAATTTGTTAAATAATGAGTTTAATATCATTAAATAAAAAAAAAATGTATATAGCTATTGAACAATAAAAAGTGTGATAATGTATAAAACTTTATTAATTTTCTTTACTTTTTATTTCATGAAGTTAATTGATTTGGCAAATGAGCGGCTTATATATAATACACATATATTTTCATTAAAAATAATTAATTAATTATATTTCTATTCAGTAAAGAAACATACAGCATATGAGATAGATGAACCAGATAGCGTACATGAAAATAACATATTTGTAGATAATGTGAGTACTCATAACGTAATTTTACAAACTATTTTTGTATGTTTTAAATCCTATAAATAACTTGAAGAATATAAAATTTACAAAAGTTTATAATTTTTGTACAAATTGTTCATAAGTAGATCCTAGAAGACAGCAAAATCACCAAAGAGCAATTGTCTGCTATAGAAGTACGACATAATGAAGTTTTGAAATTAGAAAAATCTATTCATGATATTAAAGATATGTTTACTGAAACAGCTTTCCTTATTGAAAAACAAGTAAGTATAATAATATTGAATATAAGTAATCGCGCTAATACTATACATATTTAAATATATAGAAACACATATTCTTTTTTGTTTAATTTTTATAGGGTGAGCAGATAAACAGTGTAGAATATTTTGCAAAAAATACTACAGATGATGTTGAAAGTGGTAAAAAAAGTCTTAAAAAAGCAGAAAAAAGGAGTGATAGACTTAAAAAAGTAAACATAATAGACATTTTCTTAAACACGTTAATACAAGAATTTATTACTAAAATTTTTTATTTTTCAGAGAAAAATAAAGATTATCATTATTGTTGGGATAATAATATTTTTTATTCTACTAATTATCTTATTTCTCAATTAATCTCTTTTTTTAAATTTAACTTATATGTTATTCTATTTGTAAATCAAAAATATTCTTATATGAATGAAGTTATATTCTCTGTACAAAAAGTAAAATGAAGACATCATTTTACACTTTAATAAGCTTAGATACTGAAAAATAATTTAATAAACCTTTTGCACTTGGTCTCAATTTGTAATCTTCGCAAGTGCACGTATGGAATATGTCTAATACATTTTCATATTCTACACCTAGATTAATGGCAGGTAAAGGCGGACGGGTGCCTAAAAACATTTTGAAAAATATTTTTTACTGTAAATATTCATTAAAAATTGCATTGAAGCATCTAAGAATTATTTACCAAAGTTTTTTTCCAAGTTGAAAAAAAATGAGGCACTATCATCGAAACTTTGATCATCAATATCATTTTGAACTTTTAAAGACATACACTCTTCATCCTCACTGATATTTTGCAATTCATTTGAATCATTATAAACGTGAGGTGGAGATAACGCCATCATTTCCCATAAGATAAGACCATATGCCCATATATCACATTTGTCTGTTATAGGACCAGTCTCTAAAAAAAAAAAAAAAAGAAAAAGAAAAGAACCGAATATCAATTCTATAAAATAGCCATAATTATTGCCATATATGAAAGAAAACAATTGTTATATATATATATAAAAGCATAAGTATTAATATAATGGTTGATATACCTAATACTTCTGGTGCACTCCAACATTCAGTTCCAACGTAATTAAATTTTCCTCGCGAATCTTTCATTTCTAAAGTTTCTGTTAGTGGAATAGAAACTCCAAAGTCACAAAGTTTTACTTTTTTTAAATCATTCGAAACTAAGACGTTAAAACTCTTCATATCTCCATGTAAAATATGCATAGTATTATGTAGATAATCTAAGCCCTTTGCCATTTCATAACCCACATGTAAAATATCTTTAGCAGGAAAAATGTCTTCTCCTCTGTCAACTTTACTTTCAATTAAGTCTCCTATAAGACGATTAACAAAAAGAATTTCTTTGTAAAAAAGAATAAGTGCTAAAGCTCATTTCTTTTCAAGCAGCTGTTTCTATGCCACGGAGTTCATCAAAAATTAAGCAAACAAATAAAAATATACACAACCGAAATATAAAATAATATTATTTCTTTTGTTATTTATATATATACTTATTATTTTTTAAATATTTCTTATTCGCTTTTGGAATATTAAGAATACCGTAAAAAAAGGTGTCAGAACTTCGTTCCAGTGCTTTGCATCACAAAAAAAAGCGCTAATTATAATAAATATATAAATCGTTAATAAATCAAAGCGATTAAGTCCACTTGTGAAATGTTTTAAAAATTTATTATCAAAACATTTGATTGATCTTTAACTTTTTACAGTTAAAATTAATAATCTTAATAATTAAGCTTAACATCACTAAACGAGAACAATTTTCATGCTGAATTAGTAATAAATGATACAACAAGGTGTATTTGTTTATCAATTTTCTCTACTTTATATTTTATGAAGTATTATTAGAATATAAATGATTTATAAATACCCAGAGAAATGTCCAATTGTTCCATAGCAAGACATGGTTCACCCTTGGAAGATAATGTAAATGCTCTAAAACCCACAATATTTGGATGATTTAATTTCTTCAATAACTTAGCTTCAAACTCTAAACGGCTATCATAGTCTTCACCCGCAGGAACTTTACTATTTCTTTTTTTGATTGCCCATGGTGATCTCATAAAACCAACTGATGGAGATCTTTCAAATTTAAGAATATGTACACCTAACATATTAAATTAACAAGATTATGAATACTTATAAATAATTATAAATATTTATTTAAATGTGCATATATATACCAGTTCCATGCCCTATTCGTTGTAAAAGTGGAGAGGCTGGAATTTCAATCGGATTTGAATATAAATTGCTATCAATTATAGTTCTACGTTTTGTCTTAACAGGTGTCCGGAATTGTGCCATTTCTTACAAAATATTTTATATCAGAATAAATTCTTAAGTCAGTAAAAGAAAGACTAAAAAAACTTTTGTTACCGTTACGCGGTTTTTGAATTTGTATAGAATTTACACTATGGCAGCATTGCCAACTTAGATGATTTTTTACTATATTTTTTATCACTATATAGAAATTTATATTAACATATATACATACGTATATTAACTAATTAATATATATATAGCTCTTTAATGATTTAGTTTTCATTATTTTAATAATTCCAAATTTAAATAATCAATAATAATTCAATTTTTTTATTCATCAATTGCAATGTAAATAATTTTGTCATGATAATGAAAACGAAATTGAATGTATTACGTAATCGTATGATTTGTAAAAATCAGCCTTTAAATCGCTTATATGATCACAGAAATATTCTTGGAAATTTATCGTATCTATGAAAATATATAACTCTATATATATATGTATATATATATATTCATTAATGTACAATAGTAATCTATTGATAATAGAGGTCCTCGGTAGACTTTAGTCTTGAATGGTTATCTGTTTTAGGATAAGATCATTTTAAGAGATTAGACATTACAGTCGTTAATGATACACACAAGCATTAATTTATAATTTTAATATTGCCTAAAGATATATTATAAAATATAGAATATTAGAATGGCGTCCGAAAATGTTACTGATTCTTCTACAGTTAAATATTATACGCGGGCAGAAGTTGCAAAATATAATACAGCAAAAAGTGCATGGATAATTATTCATGATAAAGTGTACGATGTGACCAACTTTGTAAAACAGGTATCCTAATATTATAATAATTATAACAAGTTTTTTTTTTTAATAATAGTATTATATTACTTCTTGTATTATTGAAAAAGTTTATTGACATTATTCATATATCAAGTTAATATGTTAAGTTAAATGATTTTTTTCTTCTTGATAACTTGAAGCATCTTGATGATGAACAAATTTTTATAGTAACATTATAACAAGTTGTTTGAATAATGATATTTTATCTATTCGTGTTTTTCTTTCACAATTTTTGTTAAAGTTTATCGGTATATATATTGAATTAAACAATTTTATTTTTTAATCAGATATTTATTTGTACTATAAATCTAATATAAATTCTAATATATATAATATATCTATTTTTTTTTTTCAATGAAGCATCCTGGCGGTGAAGAAGTTGTTTTGGAACATGCTGGACGAGATGGAACAGAACCTTTTGAAGATATTGGTCATTCCAGTGATGCAAGAGAAATGATGGAACCATATAAAATAGGAGAATTAGTAGAAGTAAGTAAAATTTAAATAAAATTGAAATTAATATCTTCGTTGTATATATATAAATATTTCATATAGAAATAATAAAACATCATAATAAATTTTCCTATTTCTGTAATTTCAATCTAGGAAGAAAGAACCAAAAATAATAAGAAAAATCAGGATTCGACAAATGGAACTTCAAATGGAGATAGTTCTAGGTATGTAGATACAAGATTTTATCATAAAAATGTATTATACATCCTTGTTTAAATTTATGTTTCTTTTGTGTCAATTTAATTATTATTAATTTTTTGTTAAAAGAAGATTCTCTCTCTGCTTCATGTATGTAAGGGTTGCTTTTTTCATGCTAATGAAATTTTGCTATTATTCATAAAATGTTTCTTGTTATTACTTATTTTTACTACATGCAAAAGTAATAGAGCAAAGCAGTCTGTTCCTGGCTTTAATTATGTAAGTGGTGGTGAGAAGCTCAATTCCATTGATTCCATCCATTTGTGTTGTCCAAATGAATGAAATTAAGACAATTATATTTTAAATTATATATATATGTAAATAATAGTTGCTGCATGGTCATGTGATGATTGGCTATTGCAGTGGCTCTTGGAAATCCTGGCTGATTCCTGTTTTACTTGGACTACTAGCAACTGTTGTCTACCGTTATTTCATCAGTGCACATTGAAACATTCCATAAGGTTATTATCTTATTTTATATTTATATCTTGACACGTTAAGAATTAATTGTTGTGTACGATTCCGCGTAATCAATCATTCTATGTTGCACAATATTGTAATTATTTTTTATTGGAAGCTATGAGTCTATAAAATCGAACGGTCTAGCATTTATATAGAGATCTTCGAACAACGTATATATATAATAATATATATACGCGTATAAGTCATTACAGTATATATGAAGCAACAAAAAAATTAATTTAATTTTCATGACTGTGGTGAGCTTCCTGAAAAAAATAAAACATCTCCTTTGATACTAAAAGAATTTGAGAAATCATACGATTCACATTTCTATACACCAATAAAATGATCTATATTTTTATTACCATTTTTAAAATGTTTTCTTATAAATAAGTTTATAAATAATGATATGATATGATATGATATGATGTAAGAAACGTGAAAGATTTAATGTTCTCGTCAAAAATGAATGTACAGTACATTGCGATTAAGAGATCGAAGATATGTAAATGTAAATGAATATTCCTGGAAATAAATAAATGTTGATATTCTTATTATAAATTTTTTATGAAATAGTTTCAGGTAATAACTTAAGTTTTTTCATTTTTGCAGATGGACAAAAAAAAATAAAGCGACATCATTAAAATAATTATCTACAGAGTAGATAATGTATGATCAATGAAAATTTAAGCATTATTATTAAACGATATCGTAAATTTCATTACGATATCTTTTCTTTACGAGTTTTACGTCATGTATCCTTAGATCGAATCCAAATACTGAAGAATATAATCCTATATCGATACACATCGATATAGTTCAAATATATTTAAAACAACAACAAAAAAAGAAACCAATCTCAATTAGTATCCTTATCAATGAGCATATCTCATAGCATCGATATGCGTCAGATTAGCGATTAGAATTATCTAAATCGTTTGTACGCTTTAAAAGTCACGTAATTCGATAGATTATCATCGAGCATAAAAAAAATTGCCGATGTAATTATTATTTTACTATAGAAGGGATTAAGCTACGGCGTTGGTCGCGTGTGATAAAACAAAAAGAAACTAAACGTACAGAGAATATCGATTGTAATTTGTGTTGGTATTTCGATAGAAGAATTTACGTAGCATTGTTTTTTTTTCTTTTTTTTTTTTATTTACTTTTCTTCGACATTAGTTTCGATCGAAAAAAAAAAAAAACAACAAGGGTTAAAATGAGGAGAGATTGAAGACGTAAAAAATAGTTCGTAGAGTTTCATGGCTACCCGTTAGAAAGAGTCCAATGACAGTGGATGAATATCGAGCGACTCGAAGCGCCGACGCCGGTTATTCGGTCTCTCTCGTCGCACCAAATACTCTCTTTTCATCTCTGTCCTTCCATTTGTGCCCCGATCGCCCTTCATCTTTCCTCCACATTGCTCTCTCATCCTTCTCTGTATTGCGAACGCCCAGTTGAGCGCGAAAGCTCGCAAGACGCGGATCGTACGTTAGACGAGATAAACGAACCTACGACTGATTAGGTATTGCTATATTGAATAGAATACTTGAACTGCGACACGAAGGTAAAATATAATACTTCACAGAGAAAACGGAATATATATACATACATATATATATATATATACATTATAAACAAAAACAAATTTATTTTATTTCTATTATCGAGAAACCAAATTTAGAAGGGTGAAACAGCCAGACCTCCCCCTTAAGGGAGATAAAAGCGTAAAGCTTGTAAAGAAAAGAGAAAGAGAGAAAAATCGTGCACTTCGTGCACAGGAGAATAGAGCAAAAGGGTCACGGATATTATTCGCAAGGAGCGACACATAAGCTGTGAAATTTTAGAAGGCATTGACATCGGTAGCAAAGCGGGGGTGGCAAAGGACCAACTGGTTGCACCGAAAAGTCGGCGTAGTGTCATGAGAGGCGGTCTGACGGTCCGCCCTTTTAATCGGTCCCTCCTGAAGTCATGCATGTCGCGCCCTTCAAACGAGGTAAGCATAGACCCTTATGCCCGCCCACTTCTTCTAAACTAACAACTCTTACACTTATATTCGTTTATCTTACCATTCCACAAAACCCTTTATGGCTCTTCTTGACTGGTCAATGAGACATGAATGAATCTGGAAAAGATTCGCGCGCTTTTTTTTTTTTTTTTTTTTTATATATAACTTTTACCAGGTCACTAGCATTTCATTTGATCAATTTTATGCTAAATTTCACCTACGAAAGACTACCTTTCTGTTTAATCGCTATTATAAGTATTCCTATTTCCACAATAATTTCTTTCCTTTTTTTTTCTTCTTATCTTTCTTTTAATTATTCGTAAGATTTATCGATGGGTTTTTCTTCTTGCTTTCCTCGTGTAAGTAATATTTATGATGTAACGTTTCGTTTTTTTTTATACGTCATTCTAAGAAAAACATTTATGGGTCGTTACGGAGATATAATTTGTGTTTGGTCATCGGACGTTTAAAACCACGTGTGTGCCAAGATTCATTGTTGGAGCCATCCACTTCCTATTAGTTTGCCTTGGCGAGCTAATTATAATTGTCATAGGTAACACGCCGGGAATCTATTGTTGTTGTCCTCGATATTGCGTGTATTTGAAAACAAATGTATAATTTCTCTCGTTAAATTTCTTCCCCAAAGATCTATATAATAATAAGTCTTATAGAATTATATATGAAAAATCGTAAAATAATCGGAACGTTTTTTTTTTTTTTTGAAAAGTTTGAATTAAACAGAATTCGATTATTTATATTTAGGGCGCGAAATTTAAATGTAATTAAAAAAAAAAATAATAATAAATTAAGTGTCGCAATAACAATCGACACTTGCATGACGCATCAGATCGATTCAATTAAGTGTTATCGGTTAAAAATTAATTGGTTTTTTTCTCCTTTCTTTTCTTTTTTTTTTCTTTTTTTTTTTTTTTTATAGTAACACACGAATATATTTAAATTTCGTTGATCTATTTATCCCGAAATTAGTCTCGGGAAAAGCTTATTATGTAATATGTGCAAGCACTGTGCACTAAAACTTACGACGATTGCGTCATAGCATGAAACCAGAAACTCGTACTTCTGGAACGCGCAGAACGCGGTGGCAACGTTTCGAAAATATCTCCTCCATCGGTCTTCCTATCTTCTACCTTCCTTTCTACATTTTTTTCTTTTTGAATTTCTCGGAATAGAGAGCAAAATTTTTCACCCATGATTATTGCGTGTGATATTTGATACGATCTAACATTGGCAATAAAAAATATCTTACATCAATAGGAAAAAAAGAGAAAGAAAAAAAAAGAAAATAAAAAAATAAGAAAAATAAGAAGCAATCGATAAACAAAGATTAGATATCGTTTTTCACTAACAATAAGCGAATGATGATCTCGACGAGTCCTTAAAAGCTTCTTCAAACTTTAAAGATATATAGCGCATGAATTGTGCTACAAATAGATTGGACGAATCTTCAATGTATGTATATAAACTGATCGAAGAGGCTTCGACCTATCGTTTAAGCTGATTATTCTTTACACGCGAAACTATATGCTGGTCATTCTCATCAACAAAGACATTCCAGCCTGTTTAAGTATTTCTACGAAGACTTGTTTCACGTTTTACGTCTTAAGACAGCTTTATGCGTGTCACTTTTATAATGCCACGAACGATTATCTAGGAGCGTTAATATTTTTTATTTCTTTTAAATTTTCTCTCTCTATTCAATTATCGATTATTTTATTTTATGTCAGTTTCACATTGTATACAAAGATTAGATAAACATTAACGATGAAAATTGACGCGATAATGAATTCATTTTTTCATAGAATAAAAAAAAGAAGATATAAATATAAGGAAAACATTTTCGTATTTCCTTTTTCGAGAATGCACTCGCGTTTGTCAATGTGCAAATTTAATTCGCGTTTCTTTAATTTTCAAGGTTGTATTAGAAGCGTGACAGAGTAAAAACATTTCGATAAATTCTAAAGAATAAGAGATCATCTCGTAATTCTTTTTTTTTTTTTCATTTTTATGTCCTATTTCAACCTTGCTCTACTAAATATAGAACATTTTCTTTCCGTCGATGTTGCATTAGGTAGAAGAGATCCTCGCGAGACACCGAGAATTAACTGCAATTGATTCATTGATATGATTTTGTGACAATGAGTTTTAATGGAATTTAGAGACGCCTATACGTCTTTTCATCCACATATATGTATATGTATAAACTTCTTCTCTTCGTTTATAACAATTATCATTTAACTCGTTGTCTCTTCTTATTAAAATTTAAAGTTCTATCATTCAATTAACTACTTTTATCGCGTGACCGATCATGTTACCATATATAACTATATTTTAGCGCGTTTATTTCATTCGAAAAAAAGCGACGTGTCGTTAATAAACCTATTACGCGTATCGTTAAATTGTTTAACAAATATCGTAATTATTGTATTGAAAAAAATGTTTTGTAAGGTATATAACTAATTTAGCTTTTATTTTTTTTTTTAAACTCATGTGTCCTTGTACAGATAAAATTATCTTTTCTTTTTTGAACAGTGAAAGTAATTTTCGATAGAGACATTGTTGTAATATTGACTAAACGCTTAGCCTTCTACCTTTAAAAACGCGGAAAAGTATAGCTCTTGACTTTATTTCTAGTCTATTTCTTGTTAAAACATAAATATAGAAGAATATATGTATATTTTCTACTACCTTCGTTTTACGTTGGGTAAATTATCGAACGGAATGATGCGTTTAACGTATCTATAATAAATACTTGGCGAATAGATGGTTTTCCCGTGTGTATAAAATACGTCTAATGGATGATCAACTTTCTTCTCGAGTTTGTTTAGATACACCGGATATATAATATGCATGTATATCAAATATGTATATAAAATGATACCTTTTTTATCTTCCTTCGTACGATAGACTCCGAGTTAAGAAAATGTTCGTTTAATTTCTTTTTTCCTAGGACCTTTTGTCACCTATTATTATCGCATTATAATATATTCTCGAAAGAAATAAATATTACATATTAAAAATATATCTATTTGTTTATTATCAATGAATTGAAATTAATCGAATGATGATATTTTTTGAAGACTTTTTGTATGTCCACTTTGACGAAGGATTTTAACTCTTGGAGAATATGTAAGCACATCGAAATATTTGCTATGTTAGCAAATTCATAAATATTGACTTAACATTACTTAGAAACGATGGTTTAAAGGTGATCATTTACGTCATCACTCTTTTTAAAGCTGTAGAAACGTATTCATTTAAAATCTGTCGACTATAACATAATGCATATGTTCGAATAACGATACGACGTTTTATTTTTATATTGTGCAATTTCATATCTATAGAAATTCTAATCGATGATCGATTATTCATATTTTACAAAATTTATATGATTTTATATATATATATAAATTGTAAAATAAAAGAAGAAATTTGTGAAAAAGAATGCCAAGTATTGTCGTTGATTTAATTTCAGTTTACTTAGAGCTTCGTGGGCATCTTGACAATTATCTCAATATCATGTATTCGTTTTGAACAACACTTTCTTTATATGTGGCCTCCGATAAAGAATTCTCTTTGACGAATGATAGATCAATAAATCAATACGTCACAGTCGATAAGTGTACACCTTAACATGTTTTATTTCAAATATTTCTATACTAATTATATATAGGTAACATAAATTGTATAAATTATATTTAATTATTGACGGATATATATATATATATATATATTTTTAACAATATTGGTTTTAAAAACATTTCTTTCCGCTCAACAAATTGGTTCGAAAAAATGTCTTCAAAGTATATATATATATCGTAATCATTGGTTGAAAAAGCAAACGAGATAGTCTCGCAAGTTATGAATTTTGGCAGTCGGCCATACGAACTATAATGGTTGCGACGTCTACTCGATGACAATAAATATAATAACATATATCTTGTCACGTGCTGCAAAAACACAAATATACGCACCATTTAATGTTCCCTCTCAATTTTGAAGAAACGTTACCTCGACCAGTCGGTGAAGGGATGCGACACAAAACGGCCACGTTATTTGACGAGTACCTCCGAGTTTCGAGTAATTTATTATATATAAAAACATTATTATTTTTATTATTATTATTATTATTATTTATTCAGTGATCCTGATTCAGCTATAATTATCAGAGTTATTGTTGGTAATAACGTTCAAACAGATGTTTTATGAGATTGTTTTATATAATTAAACAACACGTGTATATATATGTATATATCTCWTTCGTGACACCTGTTAAGAAAAATTTATTGTGTTCGCCAATTAACATTCCAACGTTTTTTTCGAAGTAATCTTCTGGTACATCTTTGGCTCAAAGGATTCATTCAATAAAGAATAATTACATTGTCTTTCGGTTGGCGGTTTGATACACTATGCAAAATACCTAATCTTATTTAAAGACAAAGTAGCATTATACGTCGTAATAGAAATTATGCATGAAGTTTSATCACGTAGTTCATCCTTGGTGACTCTAAACTTAGGAAATCGTCTAGCTGGAAYGTAATGTTTTCGCGTTTCGTTTAATACGTTATTTTTCGTATAAAGGAATCATTGGTAAAGCTCGTGATTTGAGTGTAATTTTGTTATGCAATCTATTTTCGTTGTATACGTGTACATATACGTGTAGTATATATGTATATGCATTTATAGTAGTATCGTATAAACCAATTAGAAAATTCTTATTAAATATTTTCACGATTTTAATTTCGAATTAAAAAAATTTGAAAAATAAATAAAATGCGATCATATTGTACTTAAACGTATGTTATATAGGTCGGAATAGTTTAGAATTAAAAATAATTAAAAATAAAGATAAAGATAATAACTGATACAGTGATGAAAAGTGGAAAGGTAAAAAAGAAAATTGTATATTCTAGCTACCGTTGGACATGACCCGCAGACGAACAACGGCAGTCAGGCACAGCAACAACAGCAACAACTTCAATGGTTGGGAAGTCCAGGTGAAACGACGGTCGTATCAAGGGCTGCTCGGAGTAACAACAGCAACGGTGGTAACGGTAGTGGGTGGGAAGGGATTAAATCATCGTCGTTACCGCAACATCAACAACAACAACAACAATTGCGGAGGCACCAAGAAGAGCAACAAGGCGAATCTGGAGGTGTGGGGGATGACGAAGACGGGGGTGGAGGGAGCGGAGGGTTGGAGGGGACGGACCCAGAGGCGAACCACGCTGTTCACCTCAAGAGACGGGTGGGACTCGTCAGTGGGGTGGCTTTAATCGTTGGCACCATGATCGGATCAGGGATATTCGTTTCGCCATCGGGCCTTCTAGTTCGAACCGGCAGCGTCGGAGTTAGCTTTTTCGTATGGACGGCCTGTGGGCTTTTGAGCTTGTGCGGTGCACTCGCTTACGCAGAGCTTGGCACGATGAACACCAGCAGCGGCGCCGAATACGCTTATTTCATGGACGCCTTTGGTGCACCACCGGCTTTCCTTTTCTCCTGGGTATCCACCCTGGTATTGAAACCATCGCAAATGGCGATAATCTGCCTCTCCTTCGCCCAATACGTCGTTGAAGCTTTCGTAGCGGACTGCGATCCTCCCGATGAGGTGGTCAAGCTGGTCGCCCTCCTTGCGATCGTTCTCATACTTCTGGTGAATTGTTACAGCGTTAATCTGGCAACCGGAGTACAAAATGCTTTCACCGCAGCGAAACTTATTGCTATACTTGTAGTTATCGTCGGCGGTGCGTACAAGTTGATACAGGGAAACACGCAACACCTGAAAGGAGCCTTAGATACCATGGACGGTAGTAACATCAACTTCGGTAGACTCGCTACCGCTTTTTATACGGGTCTATGGGCCTATGACGGCTGGAATAATTTGAATTACGTTACGGAGGAAATCAAGGACCCATCGAAGAATCTACCGAGGTCTATTATGATCGGGATACCTCTCGTTACGCTTTGTTACGCGCTGATTAATGTTTCTTATTTGGCGGTCATGTCGCCTACTGAAATGATTGAAAGCGAGGCTGTTGCTGTGGTAAGATGCACGATTATTTGTCGCTCTAATACTTTTTTTTATCATTTTTACTAATTATTTACAAATTTTATTCGTTTTTTCCTTTTGCAGACATTTGGTAATCGGATACTCGGCGTAATGGCATGGCTTATGCCTTTATCGGTTGCTATAAGCACTTTTGGTTCTGCAAACGGAACTCTTTTCGCGGCAGGTAGACTTTGTTTTGCTGCATCTAGAGAAGGACACTTGCTCGATTGCTTGAGTTATGTACATGTGCGCCGTTTTACGCCTGCGCCAGGCCTTATATTTCATTCTATCGTTGCAGGTATAATAACGATACATCATAAAAATCAGTATTACGAATACTAAGAACCAAATACAATTTCGCATATGCTAATCCGATTTGTGCAGGTGCAATGGTCGTTTCTGGAAATATAGATTCCTTAATTGATTTCTTTTCCTTTACCGCTTGGATTTTCTATGGTGGATCGATGTTAGCTTTGCTGGTGATGAGAAGAACTAGACCAAATCATCCAAGACCTTACAAATGTCCTTTGATTATACCCGCACTTGTACTTGTAATCTCTGCGTACCTGATAGTGGCTCCCATTATCGACAAGCCTCAAATCGAGTACTTATATGCAACCGGATTTATTTTCGCAGGCATGTTTGTTTATCTTCCCTTCGTGAAATATGGATATGTGCCGAAATTTATGGGTAAGTTAATAATTTTTTTATAACTGTATTTTTATTTATCTATCCTATATAAGATGAAATATTTTTGCATATACACACATATTGACAAATAAATAATAAGATTTTTATTGTTAAATTAAAAAAAGAAATGTCTTATTTATTATTATTATTATTATTATTTATTATTTCAGAAGGAATAAATGCTTTTCTTCAAATGTTACTAGAGGTGGCACCGACCGCAGCTGCTTTCGATTGATTCCAATATAAAACATCGAAAATTGTTTTTTAAAGATCTTATCATTCCACTATGGCATATTTAAAATGTACATGTGAGAATATATTTTTAATGTAACTACAGAAAACAAAAACACCGTTTTATCGATGATCAAAGTTTACTTGGGTTTATCCAAGAAAACATACATGAAAATATTATTTTATTACTCGTTATTCTTCTTACATAATATACAATATATAGAGGACGTTGTTAGGCATAGTTGATTGATGTTGTAATGACAACGATGAGTTAACAAAAGATATTTTAAATGTTTATGGTTATAAATCTATTTCTTATTTTTAACAAGTGCATCTTTGTGCACTTTTCCATACATTCCTAAAATACCCGAATTTTTCTTGAACTTGTTCCTACTTTTATGTTTTATCAAACTTTTATTAAGTCCTGATATCGGTTCTTTGTTCTTATGTTTAGCTTCTTTCTTCCTTTTATCCTTCAAAACTTTATAATTCAAACTTGGATTTTTGGGAGRTTTTGCACCCAATTTTATAGCCAGTTCAACTTTAGCTTTTTTAGCCTTTGAACTTTTAAAACCGGATATACCAAACTTGATGACATCGTACCTAGCTCTCTTCATTTCTAATTCTTGTTGCTTCTTACGATCTAACTGTGAATTAGCTTTTTTATTAGATAACTTGTCATCATTGTCAGTTTTTATGTTTACTTTATCTTGTTCATTAATATCGTTCGACGATTTTGATGCTTTCTTTTTGGGAGCTATATAAGTAACCGAGACAAACTCTTCAACTGGATTTTTTAATTGTCTCGAAGCTCTGGTTTGTATAAAATCTTCCATTATGATTTATTTATAAGATTTCTTGAAACGAAAAATATAGGTTAGGAACGTATACCGTGTTTATTAATAGCACACTTAAATTTTAGGTTATATAATTATAAACGAGTATACACCTCTTATTTTATCGTAAAAGATAATTGATACCTTTTTCTAACTTAAAAGAAACATTATTTTATTTTAATTCCTATTCGAAAACAAATACTTCATACACAATACAATCACCACGTTGATGTTAAAAAATCGATTAAAGCATGTCGCGCCACGTGATGGTGTTGTTAATTAACACCTAGCGATCGAACTTTGTACTAAATATTCGAAACATCAACGCCACCAAACATTAAAAATGCGATTACGTTAAGATAAATATTAAGTCATGCTAGTAATAATTAAATAATTATATCATTTTTTGTTTCATGATAATTTAAACGAAACTTAAAAAATAAACAACATTAATTATTACTAGATCTGATATTTTAAAGTGCGTATATACGCTTTTTTTTTATTTTAACACTATGAGATCTGGCACGTGTAATCAAGATTCTTTCGTATGACGCCGGTACGTTCGATTAGCTTTGAACACGACGACACCAACATAATGTCATCGGCAATTGACGATCGATTTGCAGACGGCACTATTTTAGTGTCTTCCGACTGCATACAGTGGTGTGTTATTGTTTATAATTATATTATAAAGACATAATTGCTCTTTTTAAGGATTTCTCCTTATTTTTTCTAATTCTATTTCTATGTTCCTTCTTTGCAGTTGCATCTTTAAAGAATTGTACACCTTCTTTTTCTTCTACTTTACGTTTTACTTGCAACATGCAATGTAAATTAAATCCAACTGTATCCTGAAAATATATTATCTTTGTTTTGATTACCATTTAATATTTTCATAATTATGTACAAAAAATATATTATTACCCTTAACGTAGATATCTTTTCAAAGATAATTGATTTTATAGTTTCTAATGTCAATAAAAGATTTTGGTTGGATGTGATGGGTCCATGATGAGCTTGTATTAAAAAAACAGTCAATTTAGTTAATAATTCTGTGTGAAAATTGATTTTCGATAATCTTGGAATCATTTGTAAAATTTCACAGGCAGTAGCAAATGGAAGTAGCAATAAAGCTTCTTCTAAATTACTAAAAAAAATATTTTGATTTAATAGGTCGCTATATATTAAAATTAATTCTATTAAGCAATCACAATTTTACCTTGCTTTAATTTCTTGTATAATTTTTAAGAATAAGTCTTCACTTGTTTTACATT